GCTTTTGGATGCAGCCAGCTACTCATCGGCACCCAATTAATTTGGCAGGAGTGCTTATTGGACTCCTTATCGGACCCTTTTCTCTGTAGCCCAGGCAGCTCATTTGCGGTACGGCATCTCATTGAGCAGCTGCACAAGCACAAAGGTTTCAGGAAGAGCAGGGCACAAGACAGATCAGAAATGTGTGTGGTATCGCTGTAGGATATAAAGAAATCAGCCGCCGAGCTAAGGAAGGTCAGACGCAGAAGTCCTTGTCTCCCTTCTCGCAAATAAGGATCATGAGCAAAGCACTCAAACATCATGAGCATCGTGACAGGGAGTTAAAAAAACATGAGCCGATGTTGTTGTCTATAAATAAATAACACGTTCTGGGGTTTCATTCTCAGCCTTACAGTTTCGTGCCTTTAGAATCTTGTATTTTGCGTTCTTTTTTTCTCTGCATTGAGAAAAGATAGAAACATATTGTTCTGGGTTTGTTTTTTTTTTTTAATGCAATTGATGATCTTCCACAATCATTGGGTTCCAGGAACCGAAGCTTTAACACCCCCCTCCGCTTTCTCTTCCTCCCCCAAGAAGCATCTTGAGCCTAGTGATAAAATCCAGGCTGCAGCCAGCGTTGGGTGGGGTATCTACGAGGAAGGTGGTGTTGACATTTCCTGAGGCCACATGTTAATTGCTTTCTATCTCTCTCTAAAAGTTCCTTCGGGTCCCAGTAGGTTTGAATTTAGTAGTAAACATTTAAGCGGCATTACTTTATAGGACATCATCAGCTGTGTTTTGCTGCAGCGGTGGCAGCGTTTCCAGGCATGGAGGGGCTCATCTCTGCCAAAAGCGTATGTGCTTCCAGTGGTGAAATGCTCTTTGGAACCACTTTGAGCAAAATATATCTTAGTATTTCTAGAAAAGCAAGTGTTCGTCTGTGATCTTACTGAGGGCACAGGTGAAAAAGATGATCAGCTGTGAGGCAGTAGCAGGTAGCCCCAAGCTCCTTTGGAAAGCACAGGGAGAACAGGAGAAAACATTGTGGGGAAAGTTTATTGCTAAACAAAACACCTCCAGGTTAGGAAGGAGGCTCTGCCAGGTCGTAGCTACCATATGGCATTCCAGATTGTCTGAAGTGGTCTCGTGCACTGGGTGGGGGGGTCTGGGACCTTTTTGTTTCTGGCTTTGGCTTTACCCCAGAGATCCTCTGCCTTGGGCAAAATGCTCAGAACCACTTTGGCCTTTTTTTTTTTTTTTTTCCTTAAATTATCAGGGTTGGCATAATCAGGTGCAGCTCTATCGTCATCAGTGGGGATGCTGCCTGTTTTGGTCCTTAGCCCAAAACGCTGTGTGTAGATGTAAGTATGGCAGGAGCCTCTGCGCGTAGTGTTGCAAAGCTGGACTCCAGCCCACCACGTGCTCTGTGTAGCTCCCTGCCTCAGTCACGCTCACTTCAGCTTTCCCCGTATTTGCCATGCAGACCTCCCCATCCCTCCCACGCGGTGGTGGTCCCTCTCCTCCTGCTGCCCTCTTTGTGCCCTGTTGGGTCCCAGGCTGGTCCCATCCCTGCCGGCGGCTCCTCACCTGCATCTGCTGGAGGTTGCTCTTGGACGTGGTGAGCAGGAGCTGCGTGGTAGTGCCGGGTTTACACTGAGCCGCACATCTTTGCACTCTCTTCTCTTAATTGTCTGTTTCTGGAAATAAAGGGAACAAATAAAGCCCAGCACTCTGTGCAGTGCCGTTAACTGACCAGAAAAGTGTTTTGCTGCAGAGATGCTGGGTGGTCAAGTGGTTTGAGAACAAGGTTGGAAACCATCATCTCCTGAGTTTCCAAACTGTTCATGTCAGTGAGCCTCTCCAGGGCATGATGCTTCACCCCGTATGTCTCTGTTTACTATTGATAAAACAGAGCTATTAGTACTTCAGGGTGATCTCTTGGACCATAATTAGTGCAAAAACCCTCTGAGATCACTTGTTGGAAGGAGCTGGAGAGGTGCAGTGGGCTGCGTACTGCCAGCTTCCACCAGAGCCGAGTTTAGTGGTGCTGATTCCAAAACATCTCATTCAGATTGAATGGAAATGAAAAACTTTCCTCTAAGGTTTTTTGAAAGAGGACTGGTTTCAGGTGAGGTAAAGCAGTTTGGTTTTTTTTTTTTCTCAAAAAGGAATTTTTGACCAGATCAAAATCACTTTGATTCTGATGTTTTTCCATTTGTGTTGTGATTTTTTTATATACATCTTCTGAAAAAAAAAAAAAAATGATGAAGTGAAGGACTTGTTTGTTGATGTATTTTCTAACCCAGGCTTGACCACTACAGATGCTCTTGCTCTTGGCAGCTGAGTGACTTTGTTCCTGTGTGTGCTGGGCAGAGGGGAAGAGTGCAGCCAAAGAGCCAATGCAGGTCTCTAACATCACCCAAATGGCTGGATGTGCTTTAACACCCTGCCAAGCAGAGATGCTCCCTCCTGACCCTAGTGGCCATGGAATAGGCGATGTGGGCACTAATTGCTGAATATCACAATTGTGTTTTGATAAAAGTCTGCCGTTTTTCAAGGAAAGTGCTCTGGCTCTGGTGGCCTCAGAGCTAATGGAGCCTTGCTGACTGAGCCGCTACGGGCAGAGCAGAGGTTACGCATTAGCTCTGCTCACCCATTTAAAAAGGAAAACACAGCAACACAGCCGCTGTGGCTAAGCGAGTGACCCCGGGGTGGGGATGGAGATCACCTCGCAGCAGTAAGCTGCTTGTTAAGCCCTCTCACCACGTGTTGTGCTTATGCTGATGAGCAGAAGAGCGTTGTCCACTGCTGCCGAGCTCCTGGACAGGCAGCAGGACTCCTGGGGTCTCTGCCCAGCTCTCCCGCTGCAGAGTTCCTCGTCTTGCTGGGGCTCAGGTCATCCCCCCCAACACCGGGTGCCTCTGTTGCTTTTGCTTTCTGGACCTGGAAAGAGGGGGATTCATAGAATCATAGAATGGTTTAGGTTGGAAGGGACCTTGAAGATCATTGAGTTCCAACCCCCTGACATGGGCAGGGACACCTCCCACCAGCCCAGGTTGCCCAAGGCCACCTCCAGCCTGGCCTTGAACACCTCCAGGGATGGGGCCTCAACAGCCTCTCTGGGCAACCTGTGCCAGTGCCTCACCACCCTCACAGGGAAAAACTTCTTCCTAATGTTTGATCTAAACCTGCCCTCTTCCAGTTTATAGCCATTCCCCCTCATCCTGTCACTCCATGCCCTCGGAAAAGTCCCTCCCCAGCTCTCCTGTAGCCCCTTTAGGTACTGGAAGGCCGCAATAAGATCTCCCCAGAGCCTTCTCTTCTCCAGGTTGAACAGCCCCAACTCTCTGCTGCCATGCAGAGACTCTCAGAGCACTCTCATGCTGCCAAGGTGCAGAGACACGCACCTTACCCAGCAGGAGACTCCCTACTCACCGAGAGCCCCTCGTCTCTTGACGGGAGGAGGAGGGATGGTGGCACCGCTGGGATGGGATGCAAAGCCCTGAAGTTAGAGTCCTGCCCTGAATTCAGTATTACCCTATTGCTCTGTTGCTGTCCCTTAATTATAGCGGGAGAACAGCCTGTGTGTGGTACTTGTGAAGTTGCACAGTTGCGGACGTCCTTCCTGAGATGCTCCCACTCTGAGCAACGTTCCTTGTAAATTAAGGAAAATGATGTCATGCCAAAGAATTAAATAGCATCTCCTTGGGTGAGCTCAGCGTGTGCGTCCCCTGCATGCCCCAGCTTTGTGAAAATGGGAGCTGTCCCAACACACAAGTGGGTTCCTTGGCAGTCTGCTGGCATCCTTTCAGACAGCAAGCATTGTTAAGGAACTAACGCTAATTGCTCTGAGAGAATATGTCCTGTGCTGGGAATTGCTACCGTGCAAATGTCAAGCTCTTATCAGCCGCATGTGGGGTGCGCAGGGCGGGCAGGGAGGAGAGAGCGGGGCTGGCGGTGCTCATGCGGGGGGTGAGGAAGAGGGAGGCATTGCTTCTGTCCCCGTTAAGGATGCTGAGGAGTTCGGACCATTCCTTAAGTAAACATACCCCAGGGTCTCAATCCCATTTAAGCTTCAGCCGCTTTTATGCACTCGCTTGCAAGAGCTGCTTGGTTTTACCTTAGGATAAGGAGTGGGGCTGTGTTATTTCTCGGGACCTGGGTACCATGCCACCAGGCATCTCAGACCTCCAAGGGGTTCAAGCCAGCTCCTGCACTTTGTCAAAGCCAGCTCGAGTTGCCATGCCTGGCTCGGAGTGATAAATATGAACCGATGCCTTCTGGGAGAGTGGACAGAAGATTGTCGCCCCTGCTGCGAAGAAGCATTCTCATTTTGGAGCTTTGATATTCTGACCAGGGCTCTGAGCTCAGCATCCCGGGACATCCCATGCAGCTGCAGCCTGTTTATTCAATGTTTCATCCGGCACAAAAGCCGTATTTTACTGTCAGATGCTCTCCATTAGCTTCAAGTGTGAAATTATCATTCCCACCCTTTAACCAACCCCACCCTGGTGAGGAAATGAGGGAGAAAACAACCTCAAGGGCCGTTCGCAGGATGTGTACGAGCTGTCGCTTGTCAGCACAGAGCCTGCTTATGGCAGGAATTACTGCTCCGCTCTCAGGAGGGCCGGAGAGGAGCCCGGCTTGCAAATGCTGCAGCGTTACGTTCGTGTTGGTGCCTGGCAAAGCAGCCCCAGAGATGTTTGCATCCTTTGGCAGTCGGGTGGCATCAGGGCACAGCCCCGCAAAGCTCCCAGGGACGGCCAGGGGAGAGGAAATGCAGCTCTGCAGATGCTGCGCGGGGACGCGGTGGCCTGTCCCCATGGCCCTGGCTCCTTTCCCTCGGTGCTCTCCTGCTCTAAGCCCGAGATCGTCTCACGTCTCCTTGAGATGCCAAAACTGGCTGATGGGAGCCTGGACCACATTTTCCTTTCTCTTGTGAAGGCTGGTTCCCATAACAACCTGGCGGTGTGGGACTGAGGGATAAAGACATTATTTTCCTTTTCCTTCCTGCCTTCCAGATTTACCCTCTACGCAGTGGATACGCGAGGGAGACACTCAGAGCTGAGCACGGTCACCCTGAGGACAGCCTGCCCGCTGGTAGATGACAGCAAGGCAGAAGGTCAGTGTTGAGGTGCCTCGTTTTCCACAACAGAAGACATTTCCTACTAATTTTGCTTTTCCTGTATTCATTGTACTCCCTCAAGCCCCTCCAGTCCCTCCTCTCCCAGTGTGAAGGCTCCTGTAAATTCACCCACGGGCACAGGGATATTAATCTGGGGAGGGGTGACAAATTGCAAGAGTGTCCAGTAGCAAAGTCCCATCGGCTGGGCAGCTGGTGGCACCCCTGGTCCCGTGCCACACAGCGCCATGGCATCCTTCCCTGTGCACGGCCGTGGGAGCCGATAACGTGCGTTTGACACACGTCCCCTGGAAAAAGAGATCTCCTCTTGCAGAAACAAGAGAGGCTGTGCCGGGGCAGTGAGCGGTGCGGGACACTGGCAGCTCCGGGTGTTTAAAAGGATGCTGGTGGCAGCTGGTTTGGTTCTGAAACCGAAACACTGATAGAAGCCCAACCACTTCTGCACGTTTGCATTTTCCAGTTTTGAAACCAATCCCGTTTGTTCTCACTCCCAGAGCGCTTTGCTGCTTTTAAATTTACAAAGATTCCTCTAGATGAAAGGCAGCTTACCTGTTTTCTTTCTGGTTTGCTTTCCGTTTTGAAAAGCACACCAATGAAAGTTTTCATTAATGCTTTGCTTCATGTTCTTGCTAAGTGTTCCCAGGAAAAATGAGCAAACAGGAGACTAAAGTAAAGGAGGGAAATGGGATTTTGTGCTTTTTTTCCTTTCCAAAAAGAGATCTTTTTCTACAGCAGAGATGCGCCCTATTGTTTAATACAGCTGAGCTGCTCTAGTAGATACCCGCAACGATGATGTGCTGTATTTCTGGCTCAAGTACCACATTGTTATCAACAGTGTCATATTCTCCTGCCCTACCTGGGAGGGTAAGGCTGCGTCGGCCTGTGCTGGCAGCCCTCCTCCTCTCCTTCTCCCGTTCCTTCATGGAGTACTGCTGGAGTCTCTGGGGCTGTTCCACTCGTGCAGAGCACTGGCTGCAGGATTAGCCTGAGGAATTGCAAAATGCTCCCCAGGTCACTCAACCCTGCTGCAGGCAGCCCCAGGCCACTGGCAG